AAAAAAAAAAATATATATATATATATATATATATATATATATATATATATATATAGTTGAGGTCTTTTAAAGAAATGCAGTATGTTTGAATTTTTCTTCTCCTTCTCTTCCATCCCATCAACCCCACTACCACTACCTCTACACATATGCAAAACCCAGCCTATTGCTAATATGTCAGAAGACAAGGAATGGTTCTTAAGAAACAAAAGAAAATGAGATATTAAATGGTCCAAAACTCTCTATGAAATCTCTATGTTCCCAGAAGGAACAAGCAGATAAAAGCCACTTCTGAAATACACTTAGTGGAGGTCTTGACAGGGCTTTCTTGCTGTTGAGATCTACTGCCTGAGAATTTTGCAGGCATTCCTTGCTCTTAGCATTTATTTAAAAAAAGCAAAAAGGTATCCAAATAAAAACTTACCTACATTCTCAACAAGAAAACACTAGGGCTCTCTCTCTCTCTCTTTTTTTTTTTTCTGAATATCCCCACAGTAATTTCTGACTAAATACCTATCAATCAACTGTAATCTAGACGGTGCTGCCTACTTTGGGTGTTATGCGTGTGTGTCTCTTTAAAGTTCCAAAAGGTTGGTAAGACAATCTTAGCTAGTTTCCCTACTAATTTCTGAGTTTTCCAATTAAAGTCCTTCACAAAATCAAAAAAGCAAAAGCAGCCAAGGAATGCAATCACCACGCTTCCTTTCAGGGTCCTGCCTTCCTTGTAAAGACCTAGGTAAGCCCACTGAGTGAGCTCCGTGTGAGAATACAAACAAACAAACAGAGCCCACCCTAAATCAAGTAACCTCCACAATGCTTGAGACAGAAGCTCAAAAATACTCATTCAATGTGAGGGGCTTGAAAGTAACAATAGGAAAAGTCCCAAAACAATGAAGGAATGTATGTGAACTGATCTTCCAAGTGATCTTTTCACTAGCTCTGTATCAAGAGGGGGGAAAAAAAAAGAGCTCCTACAACTTTACAGACACTATGTGTCTCAGACACATCAACCGTATGTAAGATTTGCGGGATCCTAGAAAGAGGGTGAGGCCGATCCTGAGTAAGTAATCGTGCTTTAGAATCAAAGAGTCCTTTTCAACACACCGCAGTTGTCTCCTACCTATAACACCGAACACTCAACATTCCAGGAGAGGTTTCTTCCTTCCCCTTAATCCTTCCAATACACAAGTTGAGGAATAAGGAGAAAGGACTTTTTTTCTTTCTCTTTTTTCTCTTTTTCTTTTATTTTTTTTACTTTCACCCACGGGTGCCCTCTTAATCCAAAACTCTGTGTGTGTGTGTGTGTGTGTGTGTGTGTGTGTGTGTGTGTGTGTGTGTGTGTTTATTTCCCTCTTAACATGGGGCCAATGATCCTTATCATTTTCAATTTACAGTACTCAATAAACTATTTTTAAATATATTATTTGAGAGACAACACACAAAACCGTGATTTAGATTTTTAAAAATCTCCAAATGTTAATGCCATTCAATAACAGAAAATCTTAAAAACAAAATATATAATCCAACAATTATACCTTTAGAGTATTATTTTTACCTTCCTATCACCATAGTTTAGGCAATATTCATGTAAGGAGCAAACTCTTGAACCCACACCAGAACCAGATCTCTATTCACACCCACCCACTTTGATCTACTGTCTCAGTAGGTTTTAATCAGAAGACTAGAATTAAACACTTTGGCCACAATATACATTTAAGTGCCCTGATGGGCTTCCTTTCAATAAAAGTCTGATAAAGTGTCTTTAAAATAGAGTCTCTTTGGCCTGGATTATCAAATATGCCTTTAGAGCTTGGTTCTACATCTTATGAAGCAAGATTAGCAGGAACACATACCTGATTAGTAACAAATTTCAACAAACCAAATATTCTAAGTAAATAAGCAACAGAGAAAAAAGAAAATGAGAAGGAAGGAAAAAAAAGAAGAGAAAGAAATATATACACACTTAGGTTTCCTGCTCCAGGCTAACAGAAAAAAAGAAAAAAAAAAAAAACTAGAAAGTGTGACAAACTGAAAAAGCCCTTTTGATATTTGTATGCACAATCCATACATTTCTTAAAAGGTGTCTCAGAGCTAAAATAATGCAATTCACAGCTTTGCAATAAGGTTAGGCTTTGGCAAGGCAACCTGGAAGACTTAAAAGATCTAAACATCACTGCTCAGGTGCTTTGTCTGGGATATCATGCACAACACAAATAACATTCAACAAAGGAACTGCTTACTAATTTTCCGTACATTTCAAGACCCGAGTAATTACATATTTGATCAATGGTCACATCTTGAAACTATTTATTTTTTAAAAGAGAAACACAGGACTCAAAAAGAAAGCCACCCTGTGTGCCCTCACTCCCCTGCTTCCTTTTTTTATGTGTAACTATCAATGTATATCAGCCGGGCATGCAATCATATTTATTGTCACTTTCATTCATGTCATGCCCTTGCTTATATGGTTTAGATATGAATTATTGACTGTTACACTCCTTGTTGTAAAAAATAAATAAATAAATAAATAGGATGTCAGGTACTTTGCACTGCTCTACAGCGAGCAAGCAAGTCAGAGGCCAGCAGAAGCTCCCGCTTTATATAACCACCCCTCGTTCCTCATCTTTATGCCCTGGTTTCAGATTGCCTTCTCAACTCTTTCTTTTTACAGGGGAGAGACTCACCCACCTTGGAAAATTAAGGATTAAAATAAACAAACAAGAGGATGTTGCTAAATGTCCTTCCCAGAGCATCTGTTGTTTAAGAACACCTCTGATTGATGACTGCTATTTTTTAATTGTTGCTTTAAATTTTAAATGCCCTCCTGGGATGTGTTATAAGTGTGTTAGTCCATGATATGAGGTCTAGAAAGTAGAAAAACAACAGAATGAGTGAGCTCGTGGCATTCTATTCTCCTAAACCCAGTGATTCTCCCAGCTATAAAATCACAGGGCACTCAAATACCGATAACCTGATGTTGTGTGACGCTTTCCACAAAGACATTGGACAACACTCTGTCGAGAATCTCTAGTTTGCTGCTTCGTGTAATTACAAGAAAAAAAGGAAAGGAAACTTTAAACACTTAAGCATCCTGGTGCCCAACTCCAAAAAAATTAAGTGTTTTAAAGATGGACCAAAATATATTCCTTCAGGAAACGGACTTTTACTTTCATATTTTTCCCCCAAAGGCACATCATTCTATAAATTTCCCTTCATAACCTCTATTTCAGCCTCAATTTCAAAGAGGCCGGGAAGAGAGTTAAGGCAAATAAACCAGTAATGCCTGGTAATAACTGTCAAAGAAACTTGGTGCTTTCTTTTACAGGAAGCAGGGCTACTAGGACTTCCTACTGGAATATGCGATCAATCTTGAGAGTACTTCTATTCTGAAATTTTAATATTTAAATAATGGGTTCCTGATTGCTGGTTAAGTGGTCAATTGGCCAAAAAAAATGCTTAAATGTTGGAATCTCATTCCTACCTGTTTTTTCTTTGATTTCACACAACACATTAAACAAGGCAGGCTTCATTCTGTGGCAGTTTAAAGCATGTTTTCTGCAAGAAAAAAACAACAGAATAGCTTAGGTGGACTCCAGAGATCAAGCTGCTCATAATGCACAGGGGGAAGAAAATTTGAACATTTAGCCAAAATTATAGACCAAGCATAACTCTGTGGCATGCTTCAATTGCTTTATGACTTAATAAACAGAGTCCCGCCATAGAAAAAGAAATAATGTTAATTAGCAGGGAGAGAGTAGGGATTTAACTACAGAACAGAACTAATCTCAATTACGCCCATTTAGGAAGAGTTTTGGGCTTGTTTGTTTGTTTTTTTTTAAAATAAGTAGTTTAGTCCAAGTGGAAGTCTTAAACCAATAATCCTATCCAGGGCAATGAATACACGGCAGAGTCAAATGCATGGGTTAACAGTTTTGTATAATCTATGCAATCACCACAGCCTAGGAGCTGTCTGCTCCTCGGTCCGTGTGTGTTTTCAAATTTAATTCATCCATGTGTTCGAATTCATTCCGCAGATGCCCCTGTATTCTCATAAACACAAGATGCTTGAAAGGTCTTCTGAGTAGAACTGTCAATTTATAAAATTTCAGTCCCCAAGTTAAAGAGTATGGAAATGCATTGCCAGGGGGCAAACATACCCATATGGGGAATAAATTCATTTCTCTGTGTTCATATTATGTCGCTTGTGCACACACTGCTTATTTGCAGGTGTTGAAATTCAATTATTTACAATTAGGACCTTGCACCCATTGGGGGAAAAATAAATACAATTCTGCCTTTTAGATTAGTGATTTACCTGGTTCTTCTTTGTGTTTGTATTCAGAATGCACTTGAAGACCAAAACAATACCTTTCCCTTTATTTTACTCTGGAAGCACTTAGCAGAAGGATATTGTTTTGGAAACAAAATACTGATCATATCAGCTATTAGTTAAGGGAATTCTGTTGACTAACTAAAATGAATGTGTAAAGATAAATGGGAACCTCTGGCACTCAAGACACATGCAGTTCTTTTTAAATCCCTTTCAAAGTTAAAAAATAGACACATCCTCATGAACGGAAACCATGAACCATGCTCTATATACTGTACATCACAGAAGTCATAAACTCAAAATTCAAAAGTATCAAAATAAACATACACATTGTGTCTAAAATAAGAAAGGTTCCCTATGTAAATAATAAATGTACATGATGAAGATCTGACTAGGGAAAGGAAACACCCGATTAAAATATTTGCTCAGTTACATTGTTTAACCAAGAAGAAAAGCTTAGTGATTTAGTTCTCTTGTGGGATGAGAAAAAAGGTGAAAAAAACTTAAATGTATCAAAGACTTCTTTCTGGGCCTTTTAAAAGAGTTTTCATTAATTGTATTCTTATATAAAGGCCCAAATGCAAAAACAAACAACAACAAAAAATTCCACACGGCTTTGCAGAAATATTGCATTGCCACAGCACATCAGTGGGGTTATAGAGAGAGAACAGAAAATGTCACTATCCCAAAATTGTGTCTGATCTCTCAACATCTAGGCCATTAAAAGGAGGAACCCGCCAAGCCACGGCTGTCCTCAGTTGTACAAAAAGGAGTGGGACTAAATATCAGAAAAGTGGTGAGTTTCCAGTCTTACCGGCCCCTTCAGCTACTTAAACTTGTTATTAAAGCAGTTTATTGGTAAGTCTGAGTTTATTTTCCTGGAACAATGTAATGGAGAAATCTGTTCCAATTCAAAAAGAGATTGCCAGTGGGAAATCTTCCTCTTACCCTACCTATTAGCTTTTCTCTGGATAATAAAATTCAAAAAGGGCACCGATTAATTTTTGAAAACTCTCCCCTATTTAAAAAATATTTAGCATAGTTCCAGTCTTTGAAACTTCCCAAGTTTTCAAGCACCCATAAACCTCAGGACTGTTGAGTTTACATGTTGCATGAGCTTACAGCTAAAATAAGAGTGTAATTCACAACACCCATGTTTTTAACTGCTCCTCATTTTCTAAACTCAAATTCCTATCTCCCTTAGACAAAAATACATATAATGATGTCTTCTCCATATAACTAAGTCTTGTGAGGTACAGGAATTGTGTATATATGACTAAAAAACCCAACTGCTTCTGAGATTTAACAAAGCTGGGTAATTGTAAAGACATATGTGGTCATTAGATTTTTTAAATTCTTCCTTTCGAGATCGGCCTTGGGCAAGCAGTTGGTGGGTTGCTATTTAGTTAGTGTTTTATTTTGAAAAGAGAATTTACTGTAAAATCCTACAGTGGAGAATTATATACCTGGTAGTGGATTAAGTTGAGAAGCTACACAGCTTCTTTATTATGCCTCCTTAATGAAGATCTGCCTATCCTATAGGATTGAAATACATAAAATACACACTTGCCTTCATTTCTATTTTAGTAGCATCTAAGTGGTCCTGAAAGAAGCATGGGAAAAACAGCATGCTTGATTTCCCCCCCCCCACCCCTTTTTAAAGGACCATACATTCTGTACTACGGAAGGTTAGTAAACCCACTCAAAATAAGAGACAATAAAGTTACACTACATATCTGAGCCTCTTAAACCTACCAAATATGTTTAAAAGCAAAAGTATCTCTTCTTTACATCAGCTTTTCTTGAAACATAATTAAATAAATGCAAAATATTTTCTGGTTAGCTGACAACTACTGACAAAGAATTACCTTGCCTTTTTTTTTTTTTTTAATAGGGAGATAAAGGGGAAAAGATAAAAATTAATTTTGGAGGAGTAGTCCAGAAAGAAAATCCAAAGTCTCTAATTCAGGGAAGGGGTCAACTAAATTTGCAAATAAAGTGTTCATGTGACATTTTATTTTGTAATGTTACGGAGTCCTTCAACAAGAAGTCATGTAATGCTGTTCAAAACTTGACAATTCTGCTCTCTCTGATACTTTTTTAAAGCAGTAAAAAGTGCCGAGGGCCGCTTTTGGATCAGTTGGCAATATTTTCGGCATGCCTGAGTGTTTGTCTGGATATATATGAAGACCTCTATATTCACACACACACACACACACACACACACACACAATATATATATATATATATATATATGAAAATATATATATACACAGCCATATCACGGCATGGGAGATTACACTTTTGATAACAACGCTCCTTCAAATTTTACTCCTCCGCCATATAGTTGCTCGTCAAAATGGGCAAAGAAATAACATTTAAAAAGAAAGCGCTGTGGTGATTCGGTTCCCATTGTTTCCCCCAGCGAGAGGGAGAAAAACAAAAAACCCCAAGAAAGGAAAAGAAAAGCCTCCATCTCACCTGGCCTGCGCCTCATCCAAACTCTGGTCTGTGATGGTCATAATTTGCTGTAAAATGTCTCCAATGTCCTGCTTCCTCCCGCCCTCCCCCTCGGTCCCTCCGGCCCCATCCTGCAAGTGCTGGGACAGGCCGGGGTGTCCGGCCATCCCGACCCCAGCATGGGAATGCATCAGCCTGGGCTGCTCGTCCATCTCCAAAGGCAACGGCAGCCCCCGGCTCTTCCTCTTCTGCTCCTCGGCTCGGCTCCTGGGAAGCACCAAGGCTTTTTATCCTTCAAGCTGTCTTCAAATCCTTTTCAGGATAAACAGGGAAGGGGGGGAAAAAGAAGACCAAAAGAAAAAAAAAAAGGATAAGGGCTGGTGGGGAAGGGTGTTGACTCCAAAAAGCAAGAAAAATAAACCACCTTCCCACTTGACGAAAAGAAATCAGAGCTGGCTTTTGGTTTTTCAGTCCGGTATCCTTTGCAAGACAGAAATGGGCTCCCGGCGCTTATATCTGTGGCTTAATCCTTTTGCAAATATGCATTGATCGGGAGAAAGGAGAGGAAGGCAGGGGGATTGCAATGCAAACTTTCCCCCCCACCCCCCGCTGCCCCCCACCCCCACTCCGGGCCAGAGTGATCTCAAAGGGGGTGGGCTGTTGCAAAAGCCAGATCTCCCCCAGCCGCGGCGGCAAGGCAGAGCACAGGCTCTCTTCTCCACCGTGTCTCTGCAAACTCCAGCAGCCCCGTCAGCCTCCTGCTTTTGTTTAGCTCAGGCTCAGGACTCCAGAAACATATACAGAAAAACCACAGCCTGAGAGGAGGAGGAGGACGAGAAGGAGGAGGAGGACGAGAAGGAGGAGAGGGGAGGGGGCAGAGGAAAGGGAGGAGGGGGCGGGGAAGCCGGGAGGCGGGGAAGGGAAGGAGGGAGGAGGGCACCCGGAGCCCCGCCCCCCTTCCCTGATTGGCCACCGGAGAAAAGACGGGCCCCCTCTTCCCCCTGCTTTCCTCCCTGCGCCTCCTCCTCGGCCTCCTTCGGCTCCTCCTCGCCCGGCGCCCTGTCAATCAGAGTTCAGAGGTGGGCCGGGAAGGAAGGCGAGCTGCTACCAAGTCTCCAGTCCTTAAAGGTGCAATGATACCGAAGCGGCAGCTCGGTTAGTCAGTTCCCACTTTTCCTGCCTGCCTCACTTGGGTTCTGTCCTTGAGAAAAATGTGGCTCCACTTAAAAGCAAACGTATAAAATTAACACGAAAGACCAAGGACGGTGTGGGTCGCCCCCTCAACTCGGGTTTTTCTTCTGCTGTAACGTTGCCATTTAAAACTTGATCCTTTTAAATCTTTAGAGCTCAGGGAAACTGTTGAGAGCGAAAGTTAGCACGAAGTTGTTATGAAACAATCGAGCTGTTAATATAATAATGATCTCTAAGAAATGGCATATGTAAAAAATAGATTTAAAAAAACAATCACAGTAGAGCTAAAAGTAATACTGAACTGTGACATTTTGGTTGCATGGAAACTAAGTTATGGATTATGAAACTAAATAATGCTGAAAAAAAAGATTAATAAATAAGTTCACCAAATGAAACTAATTCAACATCTCTCTCTCTTCCCCCTGGGGGAAATTAGTTATTTGGCTTAAGTACTTAATAAAGAAATACATTGTCACAGTCTGGTTCTAGTTTTTAATATAGTCTAATAAGCATTATTAACTGGGATAAGAAGCGAACTGACATTTATTGAATGCCTACTACGCACCAAGTAATTTACATGAGTTATTTTATTTAATCCCCAAGACATCTCTGTGAGTTATGGATTATTAGTTCCATTTTACAGAGAGGGAACTTTGAAAGGTTAAGTAACTTGTCCAAGGTCCCATGTGTGAATACTGTAAAAATTAGTTATGTGCCCATCTTGTCTGAAAAGAGACTCAAGATGCTTAAAATGATACATATTCAAACAAATTGACTCAAATTGAAAATGAGTAGGAAAGAATGAAAAACAATAATAATTAAATAAAATCAGGGGATGGGACTTCCCTGGCGGTCCGGTGGTTAAGATTTCACCTTCCAATGCAGGGGGCACGGGTTCAATTCCTGGTGGGGGAGCTAAGATCCCACATGCCTTGCGGCCAAAAAAATAAAACATAAAACAGAAGCAATATTGTAACAAATTCAATAAAGACCCTAAAAATGGTCCACATTTATAAAAAAAAATTAATTAATTAAAATAAAATCAGTGGGGGCTTCCCTGGTGGCAAGTGGTTGAGAATCTGCCTGCTAATGCAGGGAACATGGTTTCGAGCCCTGGTCTAGGGGGATCCCACATGCAGCGGAGCAGCTAGGCCCGTGAGCCACAACTACTGAGCCTGCGCGTCTGGAGCCTGTGCTCCGCAACAAGAGAGGCCGCGACCTCTCTTGTTGAGGAGGCCCTGAACAAGAGGCCCACGCACCGCGATGAAGAGTGGCCCCTGCTTGCCACAACTAAAGAAAAACCCTCGCACAGAAACGAAGACCCAACTCAGACAAAAATAAATAAATAAATAAATAAATTTAAAGACAGAAATCTATAAAATTTATTAAATAAATAAATAAAATAAAATAAAATCGGGGGAAAACCTAATAAGAAACTCTTAGCTGAAGTTCAATACTATCGCTCCAGGTAGACCATCAATTCGCCTCTCATCTTTCCATCAGGCACATGAGAGAGGAACTCTGACTGGGTACACAGTCACAGTGGCCACAAGATAAAAGAGCAGATGAATTATTTTGGAAAAGCCAAGAACCGTATTTCGGAATATAAAATATTCTACTGTGCAGATAGCCCTCTTCCTGGATGGCAGTATAGCCAAAAGAAATGCATCGAACTGCTCCAAACATAAGTGTACCCGATCCGCAAAATGGAAGGTAGCCTCACCAAATGCTTTGAGATCCTCAAATAAAACGTTATTCTTTTTCTCAGTCCAACCTCCTTCCCAATCATTACAAAAAATAAGTCTGGGAAGATAAGGGACTTGTGACAGGATTTCAAAGCAATTCTTAAGCTATTTGGTACTCATTTGCATGAGAGCATGCAGTAGGGAGTGTTAATTGCAATTACGATGTCATATTACTCGAAACAACTGTTCTATCCACTTACATATCCTGACTTGTTAACTGGGTTTTTTTAATCAACACTAATAATCCTCAAATCCCATATCAGTCCCAGTGAGTGTGAGTTAGCACATCCCTGACAACGATGAAGTTATCATGTCTTAAAGCATGAAAAGAAGTTAACTCAGGGGCTTCCCTGGTGGCGCAGTGGTTGAGAGTCCGCATGCCAATGCAGGGGACACGGGTTCGACACCTGGTCTGGGAGGATCCCACATGCCGTGGAGCAACTGGGTCCGTGAGCCACAACTACTGAGCCTGCGCGTCCAGAGCCTGTGCTCCGCAACAAGAGAGGCTGCGATAGTGAGAGGCCCGCGCACCGCGATGAAGAGTGGCCCCTGCTTGCCACACTAGAGAAAGCCCTCGCACAGAAACGAAAGACGCAACACAGCAAAAATTAATTAATTAATTAATAAAAACTCCTACCCCCAACATTAAAAAAAAAAAGTTAACTCAGAACCAATAAGAAATCAGTTTGTGAGCAAGTAATTAGAATTACTAAAAATCTAATAAAAGTTTACTAGGTAAAGTATCGGAAAACATACTATCAGTATCAGAAGACCATTGTCATCTAGGAACGTTTTAGTGGGGAAATAAGAAATGTACAACAATAATATTAATGACTATTAAGTGCTTTATAAGGATAAGATATATTCAAGGTGCTTTATTAATTTAATCACCACAATTATTTGCCTCAACACCTACACTTTTATAGTATTGCCAACACTATAGTGTTGCCGAAATATAGTTTAATACAAAGTAAATGCTATAGAAGGTATGCTATGTCTTAGACATCCTATAAAGGATGAGATAAGGGGACGATTTGGTTAGAGTGATTAGAAGAAGACTTTGAAGTGTATCTGAAGGATGAGTTGGATCTAGAAGACATGGTGAGTGAATCTGACAGAAATACAGAGTTTCTCTTCAGGCGAAATGGAAATGATTAGCAAAGTATAAATGTGAGGAGTCTGAACAGTAGCATTTGTGCTTTATTTGGTGTATTCTGGGGAGCCACTGAGGAAACAGGGGAGCCGAAAAGCATGTTTTAAGAAAAACTATCTGGTTGCCCAACACAAAATCTGAGAAGATGAAATAAGGAAGGTAAATTAGGAAGGTGGCAGAAGAAATGGAAACGAGAGGGCAATTATGAGGAACATTTTCAAGGAAGAGCCACTAGAACCCAATAATTGATTTTGTGTCAGTGGGAAGAATAAAGAAAATGTTTTCAAGCTTGGGTGAGAAGAATGCAGTGGCACTCACAGAATAATAATTATACCTATAGATAGTATTTGTTGAGTACTGATTACGTTTCAGGCACTGTGTATACATTACCACTTAATTTTAACAATTTGACAATTTTAATAACATCCTTGTAAGGTTATAATCTCCATTTTGTAGATGAAGAAACCAAGGTTCCTAGAAGTTAAATTACTTGACAAAATATGTATTTAAAAACTCTCTTGGGCTTCCCTGGTGGTGCAGTGGTTGAGAGTCCGCCTGCCGATGCAAGGGACACGGGTTCGTGCCCCGGTCTGGGAAGATCCCACATGCTGCGGAGCAGCTGGGCCCGTGAGCCATGGCCGCTGAGCCTGCACGTCCGGAGCCTGTGCTCCGCAATGGGAGAGGCCACAATAGTGAGAGACTCGCATAACGCAAAAAACAAAAAAACAAAAAAACAAAAAAAAAACAAACTCTCTTATTTTTAATACTTTACAGAGGATCAAGGAAGAGGAGACACTGCCGTAGGTGAAACAGAATAAAAATTAGTCTTCTATTTGCATTAAACAAACAAACAAAACTTCTAAAAGTAGGAGGAGAAACTTACACATGCAATTTCCATAACTTCTGGGTTGTGGCAGGGGACGGGTAGTACTTTTTTGTACCTTCCATACCTCAGCAGTGCTTTAATTCTAGTAGGTATGTATTAAATATGCGTTGAAAGAGTGAATGATGAATAATCACACTGTACTCCTTCAGAATAATAACTGAAGTCCACTGAATCATGTTTTAAGGGCATGACATGAGTCATTACCAAAATTTGGCCAACTAGTAGAGTAGTTCTCAATCTGACCTCATTCTAATGTTTACAAAGTCATCTCACCATGTTTGCCTCTGCTACGTCAGGATTTTGTTTACTCTGAGGATTCCCTTTCAAGCTTCATTATAAGCCCACTAGCAAGTTGTCTCATCTGCACTAAGGAACAAAGATC